TTTTGTCCGCTCTCGTGTGGCGATTTCTTAGGCGAGGAGCGTGGGGAGAGGTTGTGCTGAGGGCCAGCGTGTGCTCCCGGCGGTGTTCAGGGTGTGAGGCGATGACCCCCCTAGGGGGCTGGCCGAGGGCTGCCCAGGGCTGTCCCTGCTGGCTGACTCAGAGGGGCTGCCCTGCAGGACGACACAGGGACCCTCACGCATGGCCAGCGGCCCGGTGTGCTGTATGAGCTGCAGGGAGGACGTGCTGGGCCAGGGCGAGGGCCGAGGAGGGAGCGTGGCTGGCGTGCAGGGCTGACTGCAGGGCCCCCCGCTGTCTCTGGGGGCCGAAGGAGGCACGGGCTGTTGCAGGGTGTGCTGTGAGGCTGTGAGAGGAGCTGCGGCTGGTCTGAAGGTGACGGGCACTGCGCCCTGCCCCAGCCGCCTGGCCGTCAGGGGGGCCCCAGTGGCTCTGGGAGAGGACTAACTGGCCCAGAGCGTGGCGCTTGGCGGGGTGTCCGGGGTGTCCAGGGGTGCTGGCCGTAGGCTGTGGAGGTGCAGTGTGGCTAAGAGCCCCTGGAAGGCCTCGGACAAGGCAGCAGGGACTCCCTCTCAGGATTCTCATTTCCCCTGTGGGAGCCTGGGGCCACCCGGCCACAGCACCCACTCCACTGCTGGGCCTTCCATTTGGAAGCTCCCGACCTGGGAACCTTCTCTCGCTGCCTGTGCATGTTCTTGCCAGCGCTGGACGCACATGTGACAATCCGTGACCCTGCTCTGAGCTCCAGGTCCCGTGACGGGGTCTCGCCACATGTGCACGGGGTCTGTAAGAGAAACAGTGAGGCAGGGACAGTTCTGTACTCAAGAGACCAAGACAAGTGAATTCCCTTTCAGAAAAAGAAAAAAAGTGAAAATAAGGGAATTTGGGGAACAACTGGGGAAAATTGGATATGGATTATATACTTTTGCTTTTTGCTTTTTGTTTATTCGCCTGATTGTTTGAGTTCTAGATTAGATACTAAGCATTGTGAAAATTCTTCGGTGTGCTAAAGGTATTGCAACCATTTAGGAGAATCTCCCTGTCTATAAAAAATGTGTGATTGAGTTGCTAGGGATGGGATGTCTGCAATTTGCTTTCGAGTGGTTCCAGGTAAATACATAAGCAAACAAAAAGTGTGTGAAAATGTGTGTGTGTGTGTGTGTGTGCACGCGTGTGTGGGGAGTGCTAATGGGGAAAATGTCAGCTGCCGGTCCAGCAGCATTCGTCATAGTATTTGTTCAGCTCTTCTGTGGTTTTGGACACGTTCGTAATAAAAAGCATAATAAGGAACATCTGAACCACTGGATAGACCCGTGAAATGCCTGGTTAGTAAGCCAGTCATTTCCTTTCGGCTTCAGTCAGTCCCAGGGGCATTTCTATCACTTGTAACTATTAGTAAAAATCCCTGACCATTAGATAGATTGAACAAAAACTGAGAACTTTGGGTTAGAAACCCAAAAATATTTCTAGGTTCAGTGTTTCAAGTCTAGAGGCCAAGTTCTCCCTCCAGCTCTGTGAGTTTTGCAAGTCACTTATCTCTCGGTCTAAGTTTTCCCAATAGTGTAAAGACACAATTTTACCACATGATTTTTTTTTTTAATTCTGGATTTGACTTTATTTTATTTATTTATTTATTTTTATTTTTTATTATCATCATAATCTTCTTTATATTACATTGGATTACATATAACTTTACAGTGTATTACATTGTTTTTTCAGAAGGGAATGCCATGCATGTCCGTCAGTACAGAGACATTACTCTCCCCACTTCAACATTCAATATCTTTTCTATGTTTTCCCCACTCATTATTTTTATTATTCTAATTATTTTTTAAAACAGTCAATCGCTGTTTCTCATTTTGCTTGTAAAAATACTTTGCCCATCATGAAATACTTCTCAGACCAATCCAGTTGAGAATACTATACACGTCATCATCAACAGTTAATAAGCCATA